TTTCAAATGAGTGAAGTTTTCTGGCTTACTAGCTGAAATTAAATTGGCATTGTCTTCTGATGAGCAAATTGGAATAGGTACAAACATGGAAGTTCTTCTTTCTTTATCTGAAAGTAAACAGATCAAGGTTTTAAGTCTATAAAAAGATACAATACACAGGAAGCAATGAAAAGCAGGCACAATTGAAACAACTCTAGTTGGCACCCTAGCAGTGTTAATGACAGGTATGGAAAAACCCTATTGACTCACCACACTGAATCTTAGGCTTTGTCTACACTGCAGGGTTTTTGCACAAGAAGCTTTTTATGGAAGAAATATTCTGCAAAAACTTCTTGTGCAAAAGTGCGTCCACACCTCAAAAGCACATCACAAAAGCAATGTGCTTTTGCACAAGAGAGCGTCCACACTGCATGGACATTCTTGTGCAGGAAAGCTCTGATTGCCATTAACAGAATGGCCATCACAGCACCTGTGCTTTTTCTGATAGGGATTTCTTGCACAAAGAAAGCCTGTGGAGTGTCCACACTTGCATTTTTGCGCAAGAGCTGTAGCACAAAAAGGAGTTATTCCTTGTGGGGAGAGGAATAACGCTATCTACAAAAGCCCTCTGTCCTGTCAATTTACTGTGGGTTTTTTTGCGCAAAAACGCACTTGAAGTGTGGATGGTCTGCCAGTTTTTGTGCAAAAACCTTGTAGTGTAGACATAGCCTTGGACTCTGATGGCTAGGGATGCATTCCCATGTGGTCTGCAGATCTGTCACTGTTCAAGAAGAGATGCTTCCTACAAATAGTAATCCAGTCCGGGATTCCCAGAATTATCAGTGGCATTATTAACTCATTAAAATAAAATGTGACATGTATGTATAATGTATGGCAATGTCATGTCTTTTTATGGCAGAGGTTTCTTTGGTGTAAATTCAATAAAGAGCAAAATATGCATACCACAATCTATCCAATTTTTATTTGAAAGAAAAAGAAAGAAAGAGTCTGTAGGATAAAGAATAAAGTGATTATATCTGAATGGAACAATAACATTGTAGATGCTTCAGAGTTGCTACTGCAACAAACTGGCATTTCTTCAGTATCCAGAGAGTAAATGAGTCAATCTCCTTACAGTAAACTAACTATATACACATCTATTCCTTATTGATTCAATAGAAATTTAAACAACTAGTTCTGTCAGACAAATTCTCTCTTGGGGGAAAAAGGATACTGTTTTCTTAAAAAGAGAAGTGCTTGTTGTCACAGCTCAAACCCTACCGTCAACCACAACTGGAGTTTTTTCTTGGTTACCACAATTGGTTATTGTGGAAATGGAGTAACACACTCCACAAGGACAATGAGGGAAAGATGGTATCCTTTACACACTCCCATTTTCTTATTATCTTGTTGATGTTCTCTTTTTTGATCTGGCTACAATCATCATACACTTTCACTTCTAGTCTCACCCAATCTTATTTATATGGTAGCAACTGTGATGTTCTTTCTCTTGATATGCTGTGTCACTTAGACTACATCTACACTGCACAGCTATTTTGGGATACTTGAGGTATTCTGAAATAGCTACCCCACATCTACACAAGCCTCCCATTATTTCAAAATATTTTTCTAAATAACAGACATACTATTTCACCATCCTGGTAACTCTTGTTGCACGAGGGATGTGGAATAGCTGAAAATAGCATGTTATTTAGAAATTTGGCACTCTGTAGACACACCAAATTTCAAAATAAGCCATTTCAAAATAGAATTGAAATAAGATATGCAATTTGCATAGTGCAAATTGAGTATCTTACTTCGAGATTAGGGTGCTGTGTAGATGCACCTTAAGACTTTATCTTTTCTGAGATCTGAAAATGTGAGATCTGAACCACAATACTTTTATATTAAGATCTGCATTGGACTTTGGTTTCATTTGTACTTGTGGCCAAATGATTTTTCTCTTGGCCTGGTGGAAAAAATAGAACGTTACTCTGCCACATGCAGCAATCACCTTGCATTCTTTCTTTAAAAAAATTGCACTGTTCTTTAGGGCTTTCACACACTTTGATAACATACACTTTATCATTAGATATCAGAGGGGTAGCCGTGTTAGTCTGGATCTGCAAAAGCGACAAGGAGTCCTGTAGCACACCTTATAGACTAACAGATGTATTGGAGCATAAACATCCATGGGCAAAGACCCACTTCATCAGATGAATGTCACATGCATCTGACAAAGTAGGTCTTTGCCCATGAAAGCTTATGCTCCAATACATCTGTTAGTCTATAAGGTGCTACAGGACTCCTTGTTGTTTTATCATTAAAGTGAAAACATTAAGGGAAATTTGGTTGAATAAAAAAAAATCCTAAATGAGTTTCCAAAGCAAGGTAATGGAAGTCACTTGGCCATTAAAGACAGACTTGACAAAGCATTTTAAATATTTTATAAGAAGAGCCCTGTCGAATTCCTGGTCTATTTTAATAAATGTCATGGATTTAACATTTTAAAAATCTTTTAATTTCACAATTTCAGATATTTAAATCTTAAATTGCTGTAAGAAACATGTATATCTTTAAAATGGCAAAATATAACATGTAAAGTCCTTAAGACTCGGCGTTTCTCAAATTCGGGGGTCCATTTCCAAAAGGGCACTGCAAAGCTATTGTAGGCAGGTCATTGTATAGCCGCCCTTAGTTCTGTGCCGCCTTCAGAGCTGGTTGGCCAGAGAGCAGTGTCCCAGCTCTGAAAGTAGTGCTTCCATCAGCACAGAAGGGGGGCAATTGTGTGCCCTCCTAGAAATAGCCTTTCAACCCCCTTTTGGATCAGGACCCCCAGTTTTGAGGGTCATTTTTATATACTTTTATATACTGCTGGGCATTTTTATATACTTTTACCCCATACTATATGGGCTCGTCTACACTGGCCCCTTTTCCGGAAGGGGCATGTTAATTTCACCTATCGTAGTAGGGAAATCCGCGGGGGATTTAAATATCCCCCGCGGCATTTAAATAAAAATGCCCGCCGCTTTTTTCCGGCTTTTAAAAAAGCCGGAAAAGAGCGTCTACACTGGCCCCGATCCTCCGGAAAAAGCGCCCTTTTCCGGAGGATCGGGGCCAGTGTAGACGCTCTTTTCCGGCTTTTTTAAAAGCCGGAAAAAAGCGGCGGACATTTTTATTTAAATGCCGCGGGGGATATTTAAATCCCCCGCGGATTTCCCTACGATGACTCATGAAATTT